CACTTTCTCAGCCTAATGGCTTAAGCTGGAACCTCAGTCTTTTCCGGCCCTTAGACTGGGACTCACATCATTGGCTCCCCTGGTTTTCACTCCTTTAAACTCCGTAAGGAACTACACCACTGGCTTTCTTGGGTCTCCAGCTTGCAGACAGCAGATCGTGGGACTTCGCCTCCAGAACAAATGAGCGAACTTCTCATAATCAATCTGTCTATGTCTTTATCTACATCTATATCTCATCTCCTACTGGTTCTGCTTCTCTGGAGAACCCTGACTAATACACCAAGTGTAAAATTGGCTTACCCATCTCAGCCCGTAATTCTCAGAAGTAATCCTGTATGGATGATGTGAAGATTAGTCAGGTAACACGGGCCCAATGTAGGCCCATGGAAGAAGCAGTTTTATTTGCCTATTGTATCGTGAGGGTTGGATCAGAGAAGCAGGACTTTACTGTGATATGGAATAAGGAATGTTTATAGGGAGTAGTGTTCACACAGTTGTGGAAGCTGTTGAAGAGGTCTGGGAAAGCTGTTGCCTCGGTGTCTACTTGGAGCCTGAAGTTGTGTCGGTTAGCAGAGTTGGCAGGTGAGAAGAAAATGTGGATTTGGAGAGAGAGAAATCAAGGGTTTTGTGCTATTATTTAGTCTCCTGTGTCTCTGAGGACTAGAATCATGCCCTTGGATTTCACAGTTGGCTTTAAGTATGTGTCTGTATACCTCTACCTCTGCCCTTTCCATCTCTTAGGCTCTTTGGCGCTGGGGCCAGACCACTCGTGACCCTGTGTCTCTTCCCCTCTCCTCTGCACATCTGTTCTGTTTGCTCCGGTTGTCATGTCACCTCCTGCCTGTGGACCTTTGCATCATTGCAGCCAAATGCACACATTCCCCAAAGTGCTGCAGTGGCTCTGAGGGCATTGTTGATTTTGACAGGTGCCATTTCTTCTCCAAACTGTCTCTGGAAGATCCACTGAACGTGTGGTAGGCCTGATGAGTTTCTAATGACCTTGAAAACTTGTCTATGACTCAACCATGAAAAATAGTGCATTCTGAGGCCTATCAGGATGATAAGGGGCTGGAACAAGTCCCCCGCAATCTTCCTTCTTGCACACTCCTGAGTCCGCTTAAGGGAGGTACAAACGTTTCCACTTCCTGGCGTAGAAAGCCCTTCTCCAAAAATAGCGTCCAAAGTAGACTGGGGCCAATCAGCCTTTTCTCATCATTTAACAAGGTCACCAGATTCTGTATAGATACCAGTCTTCCTCTTCCTTCTGAAATTCCAAAGCCCTTTAATAGTGTCTTGAGGAGGAGGCTGGTGAGACACACTCACTTTTTCACCCCTTCCTGGAACATCTACACATAAGGAGGGGGTCTGAGGGCACAGACCATTTTTCATTTGCAGGAGGAGGCACAGGTGGTAACTCTTTTCCCTGTCATTCAAACTCAGTGAGATGCACCCTGGAGTCCCTGCAGAAAATCTCCACATGGGGGATCCACTTAGTTCAACTCTGACTTCTCTTCCAGCCAACTGCTGGGCTGGAAATACAAAGAAGCCAGGCCTGACACCCCTGCAGCCTCCCGGAATACCACCAGGTGGACGGCCCAGGATGATGGAGATCATCACCTGGAGTTCTTTCAGAAGAGGCATGCATGGTGCTGTTGAGACCCATTGCTTCCAGTCTGAGATGTAGATATTTTTAGGGATGAATCTGGGCCTTCCTTCTCTCCCTCCCTCTGATGCTAATGTGGCCATCTGCATCTCCCAGACAACCTTCACAGGCACACATTCACCACCCCAGAAGAGTGGGCTGGGGAGAGATAGTTATTAAATATAGACTACTGAGCCGTGGCACAAGGAGGCTGAGTTTGCCTGACGTGCTCAGAGTGAAGCAGGGGTGTTGGAGACCTGGAACCCACTTCTGTACTCTGTGACTTTCTGTGCCTTCTCTTCTCTGAGGCTCCATTAATTTTTAAAATTTCTTTTATCTGTTCAGTGAGGGGTTTAGGTAATATTTCCTTTAAGTGCACTCAAACATATCATGATTTATTTTTGAAGGTCTTAGTTGTATAAACCCACAGACACAGCCAGAGTTCAGCAGGATATCTGATGGTTACTACTTTGTCCAGGGCAGTGGCAGTTGTGATCTTCTGTCCTCATTCTTTTCCACCTCCCAGGGAGATGGCCAGCAAGGGTGACTTGTACGTGGTGGCAAAGTGCTGAGACCACAGGTTCAAGAGTTCTCAACGTTTATCTCCCTTCCTGCAGTCAGCCTCCACCAGCTCTCAGCTTGCCCTCCATCCAAGGAAAAGCTCACTCATCAGCCCTCAGACCCATCTAGTGGGGGTATTTCTTACTTGGGAGTAGTGTTGGGGAGAGGAGGCAGAGGTCCTAGGAACACACTGATAAGTTTTAGTTTTTGAGTTGCTAGAATTTCTATGCTGAGTAGTGCTATCTCTGTAGGACTTGGTGGGCCCACAGTGTTCCTGAAGTAGTGTTAAATTTGTTTAATTTGGAGAACATGTGCTGTAGATAGGTGATGGTAATTATAAAAAATGAAGGTGATAAAGAATACAGCTCCCGTGGCACTGTGTACTTCTGATTATTTATCAGCTGAATAACGTTACATGAATTCAAGTACCACATCCAGCTCACAGTAGCATCTGTGAAATGAATGAGGCTCTGTCTCCACCTCCATCCCTAGCATGGGAGTCTCAGGCCCAGGCCACAGGCAAGAGGCCTGTGTCCAGTGAGAACTTGGGCTAGGGGCAGAGGTAATGCTGTTTCCTATATGTCACTCTATAAATAAGGCAAGACCATGCTGGTCTTATCTCTTGTCCCTGACTGTGCCCAGGCCTGAGCTCAACAGAAGGTTCGGATGGACTAGGATGGATCAGGCCCCAGAGCAGTTCCTTCAGGCATACACCTGGCTTGTGAGGTATTCTAGAGGTATGAGCAGAGCTGCAGAGGCCCCAGTGCACAGTGGTGAGGCATGTAGATTCTGGAACCCAGAATCAAATCTAGGCTCTGAAACTTACTAGCCATATGACCTTGACAAGTTTCTTTACCTCTCTGAGCCTCAGTTTCCACATCTGTAAACAGGGATGATAATAAAAATGCATACCTTACAGAGCCATTGTCAGAATTAAATGAGGTAATGTACCTAGAAGACACTCCACCAACTGGCATCACATGTAGAGTTCCATCAGAGTGGAGAGTTGCCCCTCTGAGAATCAATGCCAACTGAGTGTTGCAAACTGAGCAGGGACAGCTTTTGCTGAAAGTTCATCTGCAGGAAGTTGACTGAACTCTGAAGATGCTGAAGATGCTAACCAAGTAGGACAATCCCTGGGAAAACCCAAAAGGCCTCAAATAGGATCACATGGTAAGGAGTATGGAAAAAATAAGCCCATGATAGGGGCAAACTGCTCTGTTTGTACTTGCCTGACAAGGGAACTTAGTCTCTCCAGAAGGTAGTCTGGTTCTGTGGAAATTCCAGCAGCCTGGAGCTACAATACTGTTTTCTCACTGCCCGAGCCTGCCTGTTCTCCTCCCCCTGGGTCAGCTCTGTTTCAAGAACATTTATATTGGGCCAAGCCCATGATAGGCCCCTGGGCCCCAGAGGTAAGTAAGACGTGGCTCCTGCCCATAGGATCCTTGTTTCATGTTCACTGCTGCCAGGGAAGTTTGCCCAAGGTGTTTACAGTATTTGCAGTTTACAAAGCTGCTTCATACCCCTCACACTGTTCACGCTGTGTTTTCTATGACTGGTGCTCCCTGGAGCGGTGCAGAGAGAAGAGATTAAGGTAGCCAAGAAAAGAGTACTTCGGTGATTTGAGTTAAGTAACAGGTGGCCTGCACCACCGCCCCTCTTCCCACTAGTCCAGGTAAGGAGAAGGGCTTTATCAGCTAGCAGGGGCAATCTGAAGCCAAGGGTGGTCAAGGAGCAAAGCAAGAGGGAGGTCCACTGAAGGTGATATGCTGCTCCCCTAAGTCCAAAGGGCGACCCCGAGGCTTGCTTTCCAGCTGCCTAGGCCAAGGAGTAGGAGGCCCATCCCTCTGCTCTCCCTTGATATTTGGATCCCTGCACCCGGGTTTTCACGTAGCAGCAGCACCACGCCCCGCCCCCATCGGCCCTCTGCTGGTCTCAGACCTGCGCTGGTCTGGGTGGGAGCGCCCGGCTGCTTTCTACCCTCCGGCCGGGCTACACGCCCACGTGCGCCCACAGCAGCCGCGGTGACAGCTGGCCTCACAGGAGGCGGGGCGTGGAGGGGAGCCTGGACG